ACAAACTCCCCGTGTGTGAACATACTTGGTCAGTAATCCTGAGTCTGGTTAACTTACAAACTGAACAGAATTCACGTCCTTCTGGGATTAAACACACATTTCAATTACCAACCAGTGATGAGTGGGCCCCGAAGCTACAGCGTCGGCAGCCTTGTGAGTGAGGTTAGGCTCATTTAATCAGGCTTGGCCTAACTGCGGAATCAGATAATGCACCATACCTTATATTAAGGAGATTAATGACTCGATGCTTTTCATAATTTGTTGCAGGAATTCCTGTAATGCTAAAAAGATAAATGGAGATATTTCTAAAAATATTTCTTTTTGGCCCCATGAATATGCAATCGCAATACAGACATCACTGACTTTCTCATTTCATTACTGATTCGTTATCATCCATCCATCATCCTTAAGTGCTTATCTAGTACAGGGTTGTGCTGTAAGGGTCGTGGCGCCTGGAGCCTATCCCACACAGCCCTGACCGGGGGCCCCCTGGATGGGACTACAGTCCAGAGCTAATTGCTAATGCTAACTTAACATATACTTAAAATGACTTGTTTTATAACATATACAATTTACTAATAAAAGGAAATGATAAGGCTTAGACCTCTGTAACTGCGTTCTAATCATTTTGGTTCAGATTTGAAGTCAAAGCATACTGATAAATTACACTGTAGTCCTCAGCACTGTGACATTCATCCAATCAACAGTTCAATCAAGGAAAATTAAGTAAGAGTTGATCCAGAACAGAAACCAGCAGACCCAGAGGCTGTCCAAGATCAGGAGGTGAAAAGGCCCTCGCTGACCAGGGTCAGCATTGTGCACAGAGAGAACCAAGGTAATGCAGTTGTACCACAAGTATAGTAGAGCTGTAGAGCATTAGTAGAACAAAGAGTAAATACAAAATATTTACATTTCAGGACTGGGAATGTACACCTGTTTACATTTTGGGGCTTAGGTTTTTGCTATTTCTGTCCAGTACAATTAATGCAACAATTATGGTCAATCAACATACTTAATAACTTAAATAACAAGATGTTCAACTATCTTTCCTAGTTGCCTGAATTTGTATGCTGGTTTATAAAATAGTTATTTCATGATTTTGGAATAACCTGGGAAAGCTGCACATCTAGATTCTTTGTGATGACATCAATACATCAACATAAAAACAAAGGTATTCAAAGCATGATGAAAAGTACATGACAGGAAGCTGGACGTACAGTAACAGGAAGCTGGATGTGAGAGGAAGCCGGACTTGACAGGAAGCTGGATGTGAGAGGAAGCTGGACGTGACAGGAAGCTGGATGTGAGAGGAAGCTGGACGTGACAGGAAGCTGGATGTGAGAGGAAGCTGGATGTGAGAGGAAGCTGGATGTGAGAGGAAGCTGGACGTGAGAGGAAGCTAGATGTGAGAGGAAGCCGGACTTGACAGGAAGCTGGACGTGAGAGGAAGCCGGACTTGACAGGAAGCTGGACGTGAGAGGAAGCTGGACGTAACAGGAAGCTGGACGTGACAGGAAGCTGGACGTGACAGGAAGCTGGACGTGACAGGAAGCTGGAAGTGACAGGAAGCTGGACGTGACAGGAAGTTGGACGTGATAGGAAGTTAGCTTGCAAAGGACGAGCAGGTGCTTCCAGCTAAAGCAAGCTGCCTCTATAAAGAGGACAGTGAGGAAAAACCACTGACCCAGAGCGCAGCAGAGATCGCCTGGGAGAAATGCAGGCCGGTGCTTTAAAATACTCACAAGCACAGATTTGAAAGTAGGGATGCGGGGGAGGGGAAGTGGACGGAAAGGCAGGAGCAGGAGGGTCATATGTGAGAGCAGAACAGGAAATGGCAGACTGTCCTTCTCTCCTCTTCGCTTCCGAGGTGCTATGGAGATGCCTTCTGATACACATCTTCACACTCGACTGTGCGTATCTTCCCACGAAGGAGCAGAGGGAGACGTGCAGCTCCTGCCTCGTCTTAAGTGTTGCTACCTAATTAAAGCCCGGTATGAATTATTTAGCTGATAACATGAACAGGAGCAGAACCAGCGAACAGCAGAGAACCCAAATCGCAGCAGAGCATCACGGGTGTTAGGCCCCGCTGGTCCTGTGAACGCATAGGAGTCATTTTTCATAATGGGTGGTGAACTTGCAAGATAGTAGCCTGCAGACACGTAGTGGGACAACAAAGTGCATCATGTCTGGCACAGGGCCGACCAAATCCCACATTTTACGACTGCCACTGCGTACTGTTATGCATATAAAGGAACACATTGTGCTTCGTGCAAGACCCCTTAGTCTCAGTGACAGGTTCATGTTAACAGATCGATTCAATTCAATTTTATGTGTAGAGCGCGTTTTCACAACATTACATCGTCTCAAACGCTTTACATTATCCCCACCCAAAGCCCCCAGTGAGCAAGCCAGAGGCGACAGTGGCAAGGAAAAACTCCAGAGAAGGAAGAAACCTTGGGAGGAACCAAACTCAAAGGGGGAGCCCATCCTCCAGGGGCTGGCAGAAGAAGTCAAAACATGTCCTGCACTTGGCATGGCAAAGTTTTGGACAAATCAACCACTCATCTCCTAGTCAAGAAGTTCAAATGTAGGTATCTTCTGGCCTGTTATAGTGCCTAAATAGTGCCTAACTCTGGAGAAGACCACACAGAACATATTCATCTCTCCACCTCACAAACAACCATGTTTTCTTCAGTGTCAACTGGTGAATCCCACTGCTGACTCTCTCGTCCAGCCCCAGCCCTTCCCACCTTCACCCTAGGCTCTCCTTCCATGCAAAAACATCAGGAGAAGCCCCACCTTATACCTTCCTTTGATTATCTGGTCATGCAGAGGGAGGGGTGGCCCTGAGGTTAGGGATCTGTGCCAGCAATCGGGAGGTTGTTGGTTTGAATCCTGTGAATGCCAGGAGTAATCCTACTCCGTTGGGCCCTTGAGCAAGGACCTTAATCTGCGATTGCTTTGTCCTGGGTATGATATTAATTTACATCTAGGCCTGTAAGCAGGTCCTCAAACTTACATGGAAACGCGGGGGTTGGAAGCAGGATTAGCACTCCAACCACTTGGAAAAGAAACTCACACTGTTCCATTTGGACTAGTGTGGTGCTGAGGTATCAGCCTCTGCATGGCTGCACTCGGGTTCTCACCCCTGAGGTGGTGTGGCAATGTGCTGTGATCAGTGTGTGCCCCTTACCTACCATTTCATTAACTGCACCTTCAATAATGCATTCAGTATGTATTCACAGAATATTCAGTGCACCTTCAATAATGCATTCATAGAACATTCAGTACACCTTCATAATGCATTCATAGAACATTCAGTACACCTTCATAATGCATTCATAGAACATTCAGTGCACCTTCATAATGCATTCATAGAACATTCAGTGCACCTTTATAATGCATTCATAGAACATTCATAAGTACTGTACAGTATATTAAAGCTGTTAAGGTATGTTAGGATGATATGGTATATAACTGGTATATATACTGCCTATGAATGTTCTATGAATGCATTATGAAGGCACCTTGAATGTTCTACAGATGCATTATAAAGGTATTATGAAGGTACATTTAATGTAAAGCATAACCAAATACTTTTAATCCTCACTATTTTACTGCCTCTCCATTAAAATAAGACCATAAAAAAGTACCAGAGTTGCAAAATACAGACAGTTGCACATAGATGCACAGATTCTGTTTTCAACTCACAGAAATGGGACAATTATGAACAGCTTTTAAGATAAAATGTAGAAGCATCATTAAATGGTATAAATAGTGATATTATAGAATTGTCAACAAGAAATGTTAACGGGATTGACATTTCCACTGAGTCATTAATAGAAACAGCAAAAGAAGCAGTATCAGCAGTAGTTGCAACAGTAGTTGTAGTAGAACTGGTGCCAATTCATGTAAGTAGGCCTGTTTTTCACTAGTTTTTCGTCTGCCAGATAATTCTCACTTAACACGCTCTATCCACAATTCCCCAAAACACTCAGCAGTCATTTTACTCCAAGACCTGCGCTAAGATCGGCATTTAGATTATTTACGCAATGCAGTCAGGTCGCATTACGGACTTGCTGCGTTATTCAGCAGTCCGGACAGCTCATCTGACACTCAAGGCTGCTCGGTGACACACACCAAGACACTCACTAGATGGAAGTCAAAGCCCGCAGCACAGCACCTGTAATCAACTATTTTACAGGTCTACATCGGAATAACAATGAGCTTTTGTGGGTATTATTATGCGGGACTATAAACTCGCTCCACATATAAAAGTCATATAAACAACGTCATTGTGATCAATAAACACAACACATAACCAATTAAATAAAAGAATGCTTCTTAAATAATATCAAACATGTAGATTTTAAGTAAATACAGGATTTCAGTAAGAGTATCTAATCAAAGCTAGCCAGAAGACTAATAGATGTTAAAAATTAATGAATTAACTGTCTAAGCAGGTGCACGAATAGCATCAAGGTAGTAAATACAGTTAACATATTGTAGTATCAAGTAAACAACATGACTTGTTAATAATTAAGACAGGGATAATAGTAAACTATAAACATGCCCAGACCACACTACTAGAGTATATGTGAAGGTCCTGACAGAATATAAGAGCATGGATTTATACCAGTGTTTTGGTCGGTATTTAGATTATAAAACATTATCAAGACCCACACAAAAATCTTGGTATTAAAACACAGGCTGCGGCAGTAATACGTACTCATGTATAATAAAGGGACCTTAATCAGCTTTAAAATAAATCAAATCTTATCTTAAACCGGCTATAACATAACTCGTATTTAACTTATTACGTAACTTTATATTCTGCCAAGTTAAAGGACAGCGCCATGTCACCTAGAACATGAATCAATACTGTTGAAAAAGAGGTGTAATTAGATTGCACATTCTGCTTATTTTTCATGCTCACCCTGGGTAGTAAAGTTTAACTTTTAGAAACGAAACATTACGCCGACAGCAGAAAGCAGACTCACCTTGACCGCCTCGGCATGCGTGACTCTGTCGAACACTTTGTCGTTTACTTTCAGTATTTGATCCCCGACCCTCAGTCCTTCCTTCTCGGCCAGAGATCCCGGCTCCACCAGCGACACGTAGATCCCGACGCCGTGCTCCGAGCCGCCGCGGATGCTGAAGCCCAGACCCTCGTTGCTTTTGTGGCGCTTCATGGCTACTTGACGGACCTCGGCGGGCAGATCCTGTAAGGACGGTCTCCACGGAAGGGGCGAGGAGGGAGCTGTCCCCTCGCTCGTGGTGCTGAAGCAGCCTGGAGACAATCGCGGAGATGCCGAACCGGGACGCTTCTCTTCCGTCTGCGCGGAGAGTCGCCCGGGATTGTTCGCGTTAAGATTCCCATTGCCCGCCTCGCCCGGGGTGTCGGGGTCGTTACTTCTGGCATTAACATCCGATTTCAGGTACAGGCCTTCGGATGTGTACTGATCAAATAAGAGCTGGTCCGACCGAGGGATGACCAGGCGCAACATGGGCAGAAGTTGCCGCTTGGTCTCCGTGTTGAGGATGACTTTGAGAGTTTGCACCAGGTCGAAGACGTTGCGCTTGAAGTGGTACACGTTCAGGCAGTGGATGAACTGCTCCCGCTCCGGGTCGTTGAGCAGCAGGTTGAGCGAGTTGTGCAGCTTCCTGACGTTGGCCGAAAGACAGCGGCCGGCGGAGTCCACCGAGTTGGCCGAGGACGAGTTGAGGGACATGCGCTCCAGCTCCGTGCTCATCCTAAAGCCCTGCAGCGCTCCGCTACCCAGCGAAAGACTGATCAAGCACCGGGGGGCTACTGCTGCGGTCTACCGCCCCTCGGAGAACAGCGCTGCATTAGGTCTCCTGACGGTAGTCCGCTAGGAAAACTGCCATATTTAGTATGATAATCCCTCTTCTGATCAGTCTAATTCCACGCCATAGCTTGGGAGCGATCACTTGAACTCGACCATAAATTCGACTTACTTTTAGGTAAAGCTTGATTATGGAAACATTTTTACAAGGAAGCGTATTTTGTTGCCATTAAAAACATGCATTAGTCAAAAAGTTTAGTTAGAATTCAAAGCTAAACGAAAAATCCTTAAGGACAGAATTTGCGCCGCAATTCCCCGAAAGCGATCTCGATACCTGCTGTCCGTGCGCGTCTCCATCAACTTTGCATTCGAAATATGCAAGGTGCGCGTTTAAACTGCCCCTCGCGTCGTCTTCTTGCGGGCTTGTGGCACTTGTAGCTGATACTAGTTCACAAATATTTCTCACTAAGGCAACGGTACACCTTGGAAGTTAAACCTACTCACAGTTCTACAGAGGACGTGAAAAATAAGTTGCGTTCCTTGAAAGCCATGACACCCTGCACTACTAATCCGGAAAGCGAAGGGCGACAAGAACGGGGTATGTTTCCCCGGCTCCCGTGACAGCAGCTAGAGTTCTTTTTAAAGTGCAATCTTCAAGTTTTTAATTTTTTTACGGTAAAAATTCTACAGCGATTGAAGAGAGGCGAAGATAGATTGTGCACATCGGATAAGAAAGCTAAGCATTTTTTATGTAATTTTTCCCCCCGGTGTTGGAAGGGACGTTCGAACACCGTCTCCCGGCTCGACTTCCCTGCAGATCACACTGGCCGCGAAGGGTCGCTCCAGAGTTTTGCTCCTCAGGAAATGACGTAAGAGCGGTACGAAAACGTTGCCTAGTAACTGACATCTAACTATTGAGGGACATAATCACACTCTTGAGAACAGCGTTGCAGTTTTCAGTCAATCTTGCGAATTATTTTATTTATTTGATGTAACAAAAATATAATATAATATCGAATATCACATTTACGCCATAAAAATTAGCGAAAACTTTTTGAATACAATAAAAATATAATTTTATAAACATTAAAAGAGCATACAGTAGGTGTCTTTTAAAGATACTATTAAAGTATTTGGACAATGTGTTTCTTTTTACATTTATCTAACCTTTTTGTCCAAATTGACTTACAGTAGAGGGGAGGGTAACAGGGCTTTTTGAGATTTGAACCGAAAACATGCCACTTGTTGAGCCACAATATGGAAGAAATGTACATAATTTCATTATTTACACTTAACAGGCACTTTGATTCAAAGTGAGAATTAGAGACCAGGGCCAGTCGATCCCTGAAGCAATGGTGAAATCATTTTGGTCACCCAGGCTTTTGAACTACTGACCTTCTGATCACTGGAACAGCATCCTAACCATTTGAACCACATACCACCCCCACATATGTGTGAGGCTAGAAACACAATTAGGTATAAACTAAAACTCATAGTAACATGCTAGCTGACCAGCACGACTCAATAAACGGGAACCAACACTGCAGCCAACTAAAAACATTTTTTAGCCATTGTATTAATCATGTGCATACATAATACACATATCCTTGTATAACATTTCCATTTTAGTATCTGTGTGGAATTTCCATTTATAAAAACAACATCTTGGTATAGTTTAAAGGAATGTTCATTGTCGAAAATGATGCAGCACTAAAGTGTACCTACAGATTATATATCTATAGGCCCAGGATGATTTTAGCAGAGATATTATAAGAATTTGCAGTCAATAAGTGCATGAAGAAAGACAGTATTTGTGCAATAAATGGCCTATTACACTATTCAAGTCACAAAATCTAGCTAAAAATTGAATTCAAGCAGCTTGATTTTGAATTTCAAAATATTGAAATTACAGCAAACCCTCAATACCGACTTGAAATATCTACTCATTGTGCCATTGTACATGTACTTTGAGCATTGTGAGGTCATAACTGATGCATATTCAAGCTTTCACTATATGTCTACTGTGTCTCCAGTCAAGACGGTGAGCAGGAAACATGTAACACGAGGACTCGGCTGGGATGAACAGGTTTATTTACAACAGCCTCAATTTCAGAGTTGGGTGGGGGTGAGGGGGAGAGTGACATGACGTCAGGCTAATGTGACACAGACGGAAGCTATGGGCTGCTTTCACTCACAGATGGGTGAAAAATTGAACGAGTGCTGCATAGACGCAACAAGGGTCAACAGAGGGAATGTTTGCACGAGTGGCACTTACAAAGAAATGGCATCATCCGGTATTCAGGCCGTTTGACAGAAACAAACCAGTTAATACATGGAAAAGGAATGGGTGGGGCTTGATAATATGACTATAAATAGCGCTGGATCCCAAACCCTCCCTGTCACCACCCCCTACTCACAGTACAGCTACCAAACAGCAGGCATCTCTTTTTTATTTTACACAATTGTTTTCATTAGAAACATCCATTCTCTGTATGATTGCTTATGTTGTCGGCATAATGGCACGAATCCTGTAAAATTCACCTTTATTTTTTTCCTAAATCAATGGTGGATAATTTGAGTTCCTAAGAACCACTTGAGGCCCTAGTTTTTTTTAAAATGAGGCATTAAATTTTTAAGGCCACCTGAGAAACTGCCATTTCTAACTCCCAATATACCATGATAGACATGGACCGGCTCATTTAGGAGGCTGGCAAACATCCATCATCGGTACCAGGAGCTGCTCTGTACATGTAGATGATCTTGGTAATTTGGCAACATTTATTGTACGATTCTGATTTAAAAAAAAAAAAAAACATGCTCAATAAATTAAAAGATGTGGAACAGGAATATCTGTATTTGAAACAAATATCAGTCTCCAAATTACTATGTATTTGAAGCATTTATTTACTTTCATGTTCTATATCTGTTTGTTAATTCATATTTCATTCATGCACATGGTGAAAGGCATAAAATATCATGCTTAAAAGGTAAACTCAATTATGTACTATTTTTACACTCAAATGTTTTACTCTCTCATCTGCATTAAGGTGCATAATACATTAAGATGTTAAACATGATATAAATGATGATATGCCATGTTTGTACCTCATTCACATTTTGAGGCCTTATAAAAAGCAATCTAAATGCACTAGGCATGCTATACACTTTCGATGTGAAATAAAAATTATAGACTATTCTCAAAAAGTAAATAAAAAGAAGTAACATAAAAAATTGAATGTACCCTGTCACAATACTCTGCAGTACTTGGATAAATCGAGCAGCTTATCTTGTTTTACGTTATCGAGTTAAAACAGAAGAACTGAAACAGAAAGGTACATGAAGAACTTATAAATATTAAAAAGTAAAGATGAGAAAGCTGTAAAAGAAACTCTCTCCTATGGCAATGTCAAGTCTATTGTGGAAGTGGACGCAGTTTGACTCAACCATTCAAAGTCGGCAATAATGGTTTAAGAACACATTAGAAGTCAGAGTGAGGTCTAAGATTATTTTTAACAAAAATGCACATCTCATCAGAACAATGACCTTAAGCACAAAGCAACAGCACTGATGGAATGACTCAGCAAAAAGGGATGTGACCTTAAACGTGAACTTACAGTAAGTGGTCCAGGTGGATGTCAGACCTGAACCTAATGGAGATTCCGTGGAAAGACACTACAGTTCATATGATCTCCAACCAGTTTGAAGGAGGTTGAGGTATTTTGCCAGAAAGAATGTGTAAGAACTGGCTCCTCACCGTATTGCAAGGCCGCTATGTGCTTATTTGTCATAATCCATGACTGTAACAACTGAAAAGGGTGGGAAGACTTATGTAATCAGGACTTTTTTGTTTATCTTTTTGTTTATTTATTTATTCATGTCTTTGTTTTGGCCTGTAAATTATGTTCTTTGTATCAGCCAAATAAAATAGATTTTGTATTTTGAAATACATCTTAAATACATTTTAATCACATTTCTTGGCCAGCAGCATGTGAGAATTATACAAAAGCATGAAAAATGTAAATAGTGGTAATAGTTTTACTAATTGTATAAATGAAGACTTGCTGTTTGCCATGCCATCCAGGACACTCCCTGCCTCTGCCCTGAATTCTCTGGGATTAGCTGCAGTTCACCCTGTACCCCACCTTGGGTAAGCAGTGATAGACAATGGATGGATGGACAGATGTAACTTTAACTGCCTGCTTCATTGCCAGTGACGATACTGCCAGCAGCTCACTTATGCTGACTCATTTAGAGATTCTGACATTAAAGAAAAACATTGCAAGTACCAACAGACCTAACCTGGCATCATAAATGTGTACCAAACTGTTACTTCATGTTAGAGTATAGCAGAAACTAATGTTCAGATGAATGTGAGGAATACAGCTCCATACTGTAGGTTTGTCCATTAAAGATAGAAATGGAATATTATTATCCAAGCAAAACATCTTAATAATACTTATAGTTAAATACAGAGAATATGGTCACATTCGAACACTCCCCCTTACCAAGACAAGTTTCAATATTGTTTGATATTATCATGCCTCTTTGCAATAGTATAGAATCATAAAATGTTGGGACAAGTATTCAAACATACATGCTAAATGTAAGGTCAGTACATGTTACTAACAAAACAGGCAATAGCTAAACAAGGTAGGAAGTATATAAGGCATCAATTTTTGTGTTTAACTTGTTTACAGGAGGGCTTAGAAGTGACTAAAACAGAAACAGGAAATGACAAGAGAAAATACATTTTAAGAATAAAAATACATTCACTCAAATCCTGAAAAAGTCTTAAAAGGTCCCCTGTTTATTGTTGTGCTTATTACCTCATGAACAGTAAGGGAATGTTTCTGGGTTTAATAATGATTTTGAAACCACTGAACGCATTAATTCTGCAAAAGGGTAGGGAAATGTTATTATGAATAACACGGCTAAATCAGCAGAGTTGGATAAATTCTGAGGCAGGTTCTTTTGAAAAGTCAGTGAGATAATGGTTCAATTGTTAAGAGAAACACAAATGGTCTACTGAATGAACTCCCATGATGACTTAGTCTGGAGAATAAAATGCTGTAGGAAAGAACATCCCTCTGTTCTATAAACGTTTGGTTAATAATTTTCATTCAAAGTTAATTACATTTTTTCATAGCTTAATCTGAATCATGTTAACTGAACTTTCACATTGTTTTATATGCTCACTTTTCCAGACACGTTCCTACTTCTGGTCCTACAGTCTAAAATGCTTAGAACTGCCTGATTCTTTCAAAAATTCCTACTCATCATTTGGAGTCGGTTGCGCTTTCTGCGGACTGAACCTGTAACATCAGCAGATCACAGAAGTAATTCACCTGACTTTACACTCTCTGAGGCTTTCTCTGGAAAGGATCAAAGTCTCCTGAAAAATTTCCTCTCTTATTGGTCTTATAAGATTCTAACGGGTCTGGATGCTGTTCAGCCAAATGACTATTTCAATATTAGTCTAAATACTAGAACTCGTGGCCATAAGTGGAAATTAGCGGGAGAACATTTTAAAACAAATTTGAGGAAGCACTTCTTTACACAGCGTGTAGTTAGAGTATGGAATAGTCTTCCTGCTAGTGTAGTGGAAGCTAAAACCCTGGGTTCCTTTAAATCAGAGCTAGATAAGATTTTAACAACTCTGAGCTATTAGTTAAGTTCTCCCCAAACGAGCTTGATGGGCCGAATGGCCTCCTCTCCTTTGTAAATTTCTTATGTTTCTTATAAATATGTTTTCACTAAAGAAAAGTGGCCCATACTTGGGGATTCTTCTGTAGATCACTTCCGTGTG